AGTCGCCTGCGACTTGACAGCACTTAACAACAACAACATGCCTCAAAAGAATCTCATTTACTATTATTAAATATGACATGGCCTTGCAAGGCCAGAAAGCTATGGTGGTAAGAAGCTGGCTGCAGTCCTGAAGGTACATGGTTCAAATCCACTAGCTGCTCCACAGGAAAAGAAACAGTAATCTCCTCTCCTGAAATTAACAGTCAACTATGGGTTGGTTATGACTTGATGGTACACAACAAAAACAACCATTAGCAATGCCTTGTTTCTCCTTCTCTTCCTTTCAAAAGTATTTCCTCTAATTAACCTCTTTGTTTGCTTGGATAGAAAAACATTGATTCATGTTTTGCTATTCTTGTTTAATAGGAGGTGGTTATTTTTGGTAGGTGTCATCAATTTGAGTATGACACATAACAACACTATTAACACCAGATCTGAGACCTGTCCAATCTTGTACCATCCTCTTTATGCCAGACATTCTCTAGTTCATTGTAATCATTTTGTCAATACAGTTGGTTGAAGGTTTTTCTCTCTTTTGCCAACCTTCTACCTTTCTAAGCATAATGTCTTTATCTAAAGAACAGCCTCTCTTAACATGCTCAAAGCATATGAGATGAAATTCTGTCTTCTTTGCCTCCAAGGAAAATGTTAGCCATACTTTTTCCAAGACATAACTATTTGGGGTTTTTTGACAATCCATGGGATATTCAGTAGTACTCTTCTCCAACACCACAACTCAAACATTTCAATTTTTTTTTCCGCAATCCTTATTAATTGTCCAGCTATCAGTTACAAATCAAGAGATTGAAAAGAACATAGTCTAAATAAGATGCACCTTAGTTCTTAAACTGATATAATTTCTCTTCAGTAATATCTGACTGTAGGCTTTCTCAAAACAATATGTCTTCTGATCTCCTGATTATTGTTACCAAGTGTGTTGATTGTGTATCTAAGTAAGATGAAGCTGTTGACACCAACAAATATTATTTAATAGAGTGTAGAAAATATAAAATAATTAATATAACATGGAAGCAAAATATTGCTGATAGCAGTCCAAAAACAGCTAGAAGACTCTCTTGACAGAAAAACTGCAAGAAGTTGAAGGTGGGGATAGAAGCAGCCATTGCAACAAAGATATCATTGATGGTGTCAGATGGATCTTGACTAAAATCAAAGAATACTAGAAGGATGTTTATTTACTGTGTGAATCATAATAAATTGTGGTTAACATTTAAAAGAATGGAGATCCCAAAACACTTAAGAGTGCTCATGTGAAACCTATATGTAGTTCAAAAAGCTGTTATCAAAAGAGAGCAAGGGAAACTCCATGGTTTAAAATAAGGAAAAGTGTGTGTCAGGACCATGTCCTCTGTAGACACCTAATCAATCTGTATGTATATGTGTGGAATTAGTAAATAATTCCAGAATCCAGACTCTATAAAGAAGAATGTGACATGAGAATCAGATGAAGACTCTTTGGTACTGTGTTGCATAGATGGCACAACCTTGCTTGCTGAATGTGAGGAAGACATGGAGAGCCTGCTGCAGAAGAGTAAAGACTACAGCCTCCAATATGGATTACATCTCAACATCAAGAAAAGAAAAAGTCTTTCTCTGGATCACTAGGCAACATCATTATAGAAGGAGAAAAGACTGAACTTAACAAAATGAAGATCCAAAAGTAAGAAGTAAACTGGAGATATTTTCTTGGTGACCACTTTTAGAAGTGTTAGGTTTAGAAAGAATAAAATTAAGTTGATGACAATAGATTGAGGAAGAACCATGAAATAGAGTTAGATGACAGGGACAAACAACTAGAACCTGCTAACACTGCATGTGAATCAACCAAGAACAAATAGCCTTGTTCGATTGCCTGTGGTTGCAGAAAGCACAAGTTTTTGATCAAAACCTTACTTCAATAGACCACTGCTGTAGGAAGCGCAGAACCAAGAAACATCACGGTTTATACAACAATGGGCTCAGGAAAGAGTCAATGTCCCTTCTGACCTCTTAAAATGGATCCACTCTCATCTTCTGTCGGTATCGCTCTTGCTTAATACATTTTCATCTCTAACTTTTAGTTTAAGTTAATTTTCCTCTGTCTTTAGCAATCCTTTTGTCTGAGTTGTGTGGTTTTATTCTGCTCTTATAGCACTCATTTTGGGAAGCAATCTTTCAATATCGTGAGCAGCTAACAAACCAAACAGGAATCTCTTGCTATCAAAACAGAAAGATTTTTATCTATTTCATGAGTAGTAGATGGTTTGATGACACCTTAGAACATTACTCTTCTCCAACTCCATATCTCAAAAGCATTACTTCTTCTGTCATCCTTATTCACTGTTCAGCTCTCAGATGCATAGCAAATGATCATAAAGATCATGGTGTGAATCAGATATACCTGATGAGTTGTTTATCAGGCCTCTATGAGTTGTAGTCAACTTGACAGCACCTAACAATAGCAGCAACAACAAAAGTAACACAATATTTAAGGTACCAGGGTGCTAAGGAAAGGCCAACTGTCCAAATCTACTAGTTACTTTGAGAGAGAAGAATTGACATGATGACTATAGCAATGAGCTCAAATGCACTAGAGATGATGAGGATGGCACAGGATAGGACAGGGTCAGGTCTTTTTTTCGTAGTGTCTCTGTGAGTAAAACCTTAATGGCATCTAACAACAACAACAATACACCTCTGAAGGAGAAAGATGGACTGTTTCTTATAAAGATCTGTAGGCTTAAGAGCTTGATAGAAGGTCGCCATAAATCAAAATAATCTATAAATATTTTTATATTGGGTGCATAATGAAAAAAATTCAGAGTTTTTCAACAAAAAGTATATTGTGTTACATGAGGTAAGATCTGGATGTGTGAAAAGTACTGAAAATAGAAATTAAACAGAAAAAAATCTTTTTTTTGTTTTTTTTAAGAACAAATCTTTTTTTTTTGGTTTTTTCTAGATACACTATTATGTTCTTGAGCATAATGCCCAAAATATCATTTACCTTATCATAAATAACACATTTGTGTAACTTTTTATGATATTTTGCATAGTAAAATAATATGTCACAATAAAAAACATGCTAGAAGTTTTTCAAATCTCCAAGAAACATATTTGTGCAGGGAATGACAGTAGCTGGTATCGCAAGTGCTTTGCAAGAGGTTGAAGAACAGAGAAATTTTATAAGCTATAAAGGAAGTTGCTTAAGGTCTAGGTCAAAGGACAATCAAATCTCATAATTTAGAAGCTGTGTACATGCTTAATCTGAACATATGAAGTTGAAAAATTTCTCTCTTCAGTCGGTACTGTTATTTTGCATGATCCAGCCCGTGAATTCCCTATGTCAATATGTACACAACAAAGCTGCACTAAATTTCAGTGTATGAGAATAATGTTGAAACAAAGACTCTAGTCAGTAAGAAATGGCACTGCTAACTAAAAGGGAGTACGTCTCTAGTGATTCATATCTACCAGCCCCTCCACAGGAGAAAAACGAGATATATCCTTCTGTGCTATTTACAGCCTCATAAAACCCACAGGAAGGTCAGCTGTGAGTCCGTTCTGACTAGATGGCAATGAGTTTGAATATTTTCAAATAAATGTTCTACCTACTAGAGATAAACATCTTGCTTTTCTATGTAAACATCACATTTTAAATAACCATGTTCTTTTTAATTTATATAATGTTTGAAGAAGAAATTACATTAGTAATACAATACATACCTATTAAACACTTATCCCTTCATAACTATTCAAATTTTTGCTTTTTTCTTTTTCCATTTCTTTATGATTGACAGTTTAATTGTGGCCCACCTACCATCACAACTAGGCAATGCATGGTTCCACTGATGATTCCTCTCACAGATAAGGGGTTCATCATCACTTAGTGTATATCCTGGATCACAGCTGAAAGTCACTGTAGATCTGATGCCAAAATTATTGCCATGACGACGACCATTCACAGGAATTCCAGGATCAAGGCAAGAATCTGACTCTAAAGTCACACCTAAGTTTACAACAAATAAATGTAAGTAAATATCTGGGTTTAGGGGACAGAAACATTCACATCATATCTGCTAATATAAAAATCAATACATATTCTAATATTAAACTTTGTTTTTCTGTTGTTGTTAGTTTGAATTGAATTTGTTCTTTATTCATAACCTTACAATAAAACGCTATCAATTCCTCTACTATCATCGCTATCTTTGGTATTTTTAAGTCCATTGCTTCACATTTTGTGTGAATCTATGCCTTGAATGTTTTCTCTGCTCTTATACTGGCATTTACCAAACCTCTTGTTATTTTTTAGAGATGTTGTGATGACATTTTTTATGCAAGATGAAGTCTCACTATTCTTGCTTCTGATAAGCATTCTGGAAGTACTTCCTCAACAACTGATTTGTTCATTTGTCTGGCATGCTATCTTCAGTAGTCTTTGTCAAAATCCTAATCTAAGTAGGCCAACTCTTTGTACTTCCTTTTTTATTGTTTAGATTTGGATACCTTTAAGCTCTTAAATAATCTTTGCAGTATACTCACCCAATTTAATGTTTCATTTTAAATATTTATTGTTGTTTGTGTGAAAGTTAATATAGCAGATTTATATTCCTTTCAATTATCCATACATATATTAATGACATTGATTGATATGTCACTCATTTTGCTTATACTCAATTGTTATTCATCACTCTTATGTCTTGATAATTTTCTATTTCTTTTTTT